GGGGGTGCTGGAATGTGCCTCCTGCCCTCAGAATGTCCCTGGCTGTGGGGGAAGGAGATGTTGGGTGATGGAAGGGACTTTATTCAACCCTGAGCAAACGCCTTCCTTCCTGCCCTCGTTCGGGGGGCTGGGAGGACCTTTAAAATATTTTTTAAAAAATTGTTTTTAGGTGGGGCTGGAGCGATAGCACAGCGGGTAGGGCGTTTGCCTTGCACGCAGCCAACAGGGCCGACCCGGGTTCGATTCCCAGCATCCCATATGGTCCCCCGAGCACTGCCAGGGGTAATTTCTGAGTGCAGAGCCAGGATTAACCCCTGAGCATCGCCGGGTGTGACCCAAAAAGCAAAAAAAAAAAATTGTTTTTAGGGGCTGGAGAGATGGCACAGCAGGTAGGGCGTTGGCCTTGCACGTGGCCGACCCGGGTTCGATCCCCAGCATCCCATAGGGTCCCCTAAGCACCGCCAGGAGTAACTCCTGAGTGCAGAGTCAGGAGGAACCCCTGGCCCACTAGCCAGCCTAGATCTTAACCAAGCCCAGCCCAGCCTGGGGTCACAAAAGAGAAAGAAAGAAGGAAAGTGTTTGCCATAGTGGCAGGCAGAGAGTGCGGGAGGGAAGCTGGGGACATTGGCAGTGGGAAATGTACACTGGTGAAGGGACTGGTGTTGGCACATGTGTGACCGGAACCCAAGCATGAGCAAGTCTCTAACTATGTATCTACTGTGATTCAACTAAAAACAATTTTTTTTTCTTTTTGGGTCACACCCGGCGATGCACAGGGGTTACTCCTGGCTCTGCACTCAGGAATGACTCCTGGCGGTGCTCGAGGGACCCTATGGGATGCTGGGGATCGAACCCGGGTAGGCCACGTGCAAGGCCAACGCCCTACCCGCTGTGCTGTTGCTCCAGCCCCTAAAAACAATTTTTTAAAAAATATTTTAAAAGGGGGCTGGAGCGATAGCACAGAGGGTAGGGCGTTGGCCTTGCACGTGGCCGACCCAGGTTCGATTCCCAGCATCCCATAGGGTCCCCTGAGCACCGCCTGGAGTCATTCCTGATGCAGAGTCAGGAGTAACCCCTGTGCATTGCCGGGTGTGACCCAAAAAACAAACAAACAAAAAAAATTTAAAAGGGGGCTGGAATGATAGCACAGCAGGTAGGGCATTGGCCTTGCACGCGGCCGACCTGGGTTCGATTCCCAGCATCCCATAGGGTCCCCTGAGCACCGCCAGGGGTAATTCCTGATGCAGAGCCAGGAGGAAGCCCTGTGCATCGCCGGGTGTGACCCAAAAAGAAAAAAAAATTGAAAAACAAATAGGGCCTGAAGTAGGGCTGAGGGCCTGGGGCTGGGCTCTGGCTGCTGAGGGCAGGGTGCCAGGAGGCCCATGGATAGAATCACCCCCTTCAGCATCAACCTCTGAGGGGCCCAGCAGCCAGGGCCCAGGAGGGGCTGGGGCCTGTGCAGATTTAAGCTGAAACAACCTGGGAATCCCGGGTCTGGCTCTCCCCTAATGGGGAGAACGTGCTCCCTGCTGCCTTGCGGCCACACAGATGTCGCTCACATGCTCCGAGCCAACTGTGCGGCATGGATTGTGGTTGACCATGACTTCTAGATGCTTCTCTGCTTCCTCAAAGCGGACCCTCCCTCCCCTAGTCCTGGTGGGCTGAGCCCAGGTGGGGCAGCTTTCTTGGCGGCCACGACCCCCTGGCCTGGGCTTTCATTCAGCGCCCCCCAGCCCCCCAATCTCAGAGTCTCCCTTCTGTGGCCACGGTGGCACCTCGGGGCTGGGGAGGGGGCCGGGGCCTGCGGGCACAGGGCCCAGCACGCGTGGGTGGGTGGGGGGAGCCGGGGAGGCAGGCTTCCTGGGTCTCCTTGGGAGGACAAACAGCAGGCTTTGAGTCCTTGGAAAATCCCGCCCGGGATTCCAGGCTCTGCCGGGCGTCACTGCCTTTTGACTATTGTCCCCGTCGGAAACGGGCCCAGCCCCCGGCCAACAGGGACAGAGTGGCCATTGTGAGGCCCCACCAGGCTCAATGCCCCCTTGTTTGCCCTCCCAGCCCCTAGCAAGACTGGAAGGCCAGTTCTTCCAGTGGCTTAGAGGAAAGAAAGGCGGCAGCCCTTGGGCGGGGCCGGGCGGGGCCGGGCGGGGTGGCAGGACTGGCCCCCGCTTGGCAGCGGCCTGGGTCTGCGCCTCCCGGCCTGAACGGGCTTCTGTTGACTGGGCACGGAGACCTGGGCTTGAAGGCCCGGATGCGCGGCCACTTACGTGCCAGGTGACCTTGGGAAAGTCACTGCCGCTTGGGAAACGCGTTCCCTTCCTCTGCCAACACAATGCCATGGCCGATCTCCGTCGGGCCCCTTCTCCCCACTGGGTGTGGCTGGAGACACTTTGTATGCGGCCATTCATGTGAGCACTAGGGCAGCTGTATGAAACAGGTACAGCTCTGTCCCCCAGTCAGAGGCGAAGACCCCGCTGCAGAACGATGAGGTGACCGGCCCAAATTCCAGAGCCAGGAAGTGCTGACGCCCAGAGGTGAAGCCAGGCAGGCGGCCTGGTGGCAGTGTCCTTGCTTCAACCGCTTGGCCGTGTGCCCTGCTGGGAGGGCCAGAAACTTTATGCCCAACAGCACAGGAAAAGAACCTCTGGCGGGGGTGGGAGGCGGGGGGAGGGGATAGTTATGTCACTGCTGTTGGCCTTGGAGCATGAGCTCAAGGGGACATCTCTGACCCAGCCACCCCATTCCAGACCCCAGGCCCTCCTCAAACTTCAATGCAGCCTTTGTGCCCGCCTGAGGGCCAGCCCTGCCTCCACCTGTGTGGAGGGGCAGCGGGGGTCCCTTCCAGCCGTGGGCAACTTCCCTGCCTGTTCCGCTTGGGACCAGGGCACTGCCACCATGTTCTGCCCCCACCCTGGGGTAGGAAAACGGAGACTCAGAGAGGAGGGGGCTTCTCGGAGAACAGCACGAAGCTGGCGCCTGCAGGAACTGAAGCAGGGTCCGGTTCGCGCTCCCAGCCACATGCAGGCACGAAGACCACCCCCAGGGGCTGAGGAGTGCCAGGGTCAAGGCTTTGAGCTCACTCTGCTGGGGGTGTCACCATGCACAGGCTCCTCTTATGAAGGCCTGGACTGTGTTTTGCAACCCCCTTGAGAGGCCGTGAGGTTGGGGGCCTTGAGGAAGTGAAGCTTGTAGCTGGTGCCTTGGAGAATCTCTTCAAGGTCTCAACTGTACTGGAGCAGGCTGTCACCCGGGCCAGGGAGATGGAGCCAGGGATCCTGGGCCAAGGGTTTGGAGAACATAGATGGGGCAGGGGACACACTACACGGGGCTCCTCCCGGGAGATGCTTGAGGAGGAAATGAGGCAGTGGTGAGGGCAGTGAAGGGAAGGGACCAGCCCCTGCATGGGGCCAGCCACCTGGGACCTCAGGCGAGGGTTGATCTGGGTTCCCAAACAAGTGACCCCCTAGATGGAGCCAGGATGCAGCTGAAGGGGTACAGCCATATGTTTTGTGTGAGTGAGGCCGTGGGCTCGATCCCTAAGCATTGCGTGGCCCCTTGAGCAATGCTGGTCTAGCCCTCATGGTCTTTGAGCACTGCGGGGCTCGAGCACTAGCAGAACTACCCCTCCCCCCAAAAAAGGGTGGATCCCCCCATAGACCATCGGTATCCTGAGCAACTGGGGTCTGGATCAGAACATAGAGCCTCAGGGTCTGCAAGGCACTAACTAGGCCGCAGACAAGCTTGGAGTCAAAGGGCCTGCGATGGGCATTTGACATGGAGCAGGGGCGGGGTGGGGGGGGTCCTTGGACGATCTTGGGAGAAAGGGGCAAGCCACTTACAACCTAGGGTGACACGAAGGCAGAAGAGAGACCCCTCGTATCTCTTTCACACACGCTGGGATGATACTTGTGGTCTGTTTGTTTGGGGACCATACCCGGCAATACTCAGGGATTACTCCTGACTCTACACTCAGGAATCACTCCTGGCAGTGCTCAGAGGACCACATGGGAAGCTGCATGCAAAGCAAACGCCTTACCCCAGGTACTATTGCTCCAGCCCCATGAGGTGGTACTCATGGGACCAGGGGTCATGGGCTAAAGGTACAAGGAGAAGCTACCAAAAACTTCCACGGAGTAACATTTGCAGCTGCCACACATCACACCATTGTGGGTTGACTTGTACCCCACACTCCCACTCCTGCAATCCCAGCAGCCATGTGAGGGGGTCGGGGCACACCCCTCTTCCTGTTCTTCAGACATGAGGCCTGGCAGTGGGAGCTTGGCTTCAGGTTGGCAAGTATGACAGTCAGAGGGACTCCCCTATCACTGGACAGTCAGCATCTGGGCATCTCTCAGCACATTCTTTTTTGTCTCGGGGCTACATCCGGAGGTGCTCAGGGCTTACTCCTGGCTCTGCACTCAGAGATTACTCCTCGCAGGATTCTGGGGACCATATGGGGTGCCGGGGATCAAATCTCTGTCGGCCGCATGCAAGGCAAGCGCCGTACCCACTCTAGGATCTCTCTGGCTCTCAGGAGCTTAGTGGCGGTCATGCCTTGTACGTATGAGCCCAGGAACCCACCCCTGGCACCCCCCCCTTCAAAAACAATAAACACCCCAGGAAGCTGATGCAGTTATATACTGTAGCACCGTAGCACTGTCCTCCTGTTGTTCATCAATTTTGCTCCAGCGGGCACCAGTAACGTCTCACAACAAATTACGAGACTTGTTGTTACTGTTTTTGGCATATCAAATACATCACGGGTAGCCTGCCAGACTTTGCCATGCGGGCAAAATACTCTCGGTAGCTTGCCGGGTTTTCCGAGAAGGGCGGAGGAATCGAACCCGGGTTGGCCGCCTGGAAGGCAAACGCTCTACCCGTTGTGCTATCGCTCCAGCCCAGTTATACACACCTTTTACAAAAGAGGAAATGTGTCTCTCGGGTCATCTGGGGGCGGGGGGGGGGGAGCAAGGGTGTTTAAGACATGCACAGGACACCCCCAGTTTCAGCTACATGTCTATTTTTTTTATTCAATATATTAAATATATTAATCAGAAAAGTCACATACTACAAATCCAAGAAAATACACAAATATAAATGTCAGAATCTGTCATTTGTCTTCTTCCTAGAGTGAGTTTATGTACAAATGGAAGGATTGGAGGAGGAGAGCAGGTAGGGCCGGACAGGCCTGCCGGGCTGGTGGGCCGGGCGCGACCCTCCTGCGCCCCCCTCCCCCCGGAACCTCGACCTCGTCCTTCCTGTATTTACAGCAGCATTTCGCTTATTTACAGCACGGCGGTGTGTGTTAAAAACGGTTTATCTTACAAAAACATGAAGGCCGGGACTGGGCTGGGAGTAAGACGAAGAGAAGGGGGGACCCCCATGAAGCAGCCCCCTCCCCAGGCGTGAGCTCCTGCCGACCTCCCCGAGGCCAGCCCTGTGCGGCTCAGGCCCGGGGGTCGGCGGGGGGCTGAAGGCACGTGGGTAGCTGTGCGTCCCTGGGCAGCGTCAGAAGGGCAGCGTGTCCATGAAGATCTTGTCGACGATCGGCGGAGGGGGCACCAGGTCCTCCAGCTTGAGGTAGAAGATCCGCTGCAAGCCCTGCGTGCACAGGGTCCGCAGCTCGGGCAGCTTGCCCAGCAGGCGCGACAGGCAGCCTGCCGGCTGGGGCTCGCCGGCCACGGCCGAGATGTGCTCCTTCAGGCAGCTGGCGATGCAGTTCTGCAGTTCCTCCACGCGCCGCGGCTCCTGCAGCCCGTGCCGCTCTGCGGAGTCGAGGGGAAGCAGCGTGAGCTACACCCCAGAGGACAAGAGCCTCTCCCCGGCCTGAAAATGCGGCCCCGACCACTGCCAGAGTCTCCCGCCCCGAGGCCCCCTCCCCCGGTGTGAGTCCTAGCCGACACCCCCGAATTCCGGTGCTCAGGATCCTCATCCTCTAGAAGAGACACAGAGGCCCCGAGAGGTGAGATGACATACCCAGAGTTCCAAACAAGAAAAAAAAAAAGCAAAAACAAAATACAACAAAATACCCTGGGGGCCGAAGAGATAGCACAGTGGTCAGAGCACTTGCCTTGCAAGCAGCTGACCCAGCATCCCATATGGTCCCCTGAGCACCGCCAGGAGTAATTCCTGGGTGCAGAGTCAGGAATAACCCCTGAGCAGCCCTGGGTGTGGTCCAAAAATCAAAACATAAAAATAAACCCTGGGGAACAGGTTTATTTATAGTAAAGCAGGTTCATTCATTTGCCTTGCACACAGCCAAATAGGGCTCAATCCCCAGCACACCATATAGACCCCCAAGTCCTGCCAGGAGTGGTCCCTCAGCACAGAATCTGAGCAGCACTGGGTGTGGCCCAAAAACCAGAAATAAAATAATAACCCAGGTAGTCTGCTACGCCAGTGGGTTTTGTTCCAGATGGTTCTGAGAAGCCCTGGAGAGGAATAGCAGTGTTTTGTTGTTGCTGTTGTTGTTGTTTTCTTTTGGGGGTACCAACAATCAATCCAGAGCATCACCCATGCAAGGCCTGAGTCATGGCCCTCAGAAGGGAGTCTCAGAGACCACCCACCTGCCACGCGCTTTGTCCTGCATGATTGGGACCACTCTGAAATTTTGCTTGTTTTGTTTTTTTTGGGGGGGGGGGTTTAGGCCACACCCAGAGGAGCTCTGGGGTTAATTCTGGTGGTGCTGAGGGGACCGTGTGGGATGGCAGGGACTGAACCTGGCTCGGCCGTGAGCAGGGCAAACACCCTAACCGTTGTACTATCTCTCCGGCCTGTGAAATTTAAGTGAAAGAAAGGACAGGGCAAATTCTGGTGATTTACGAGAAAAAAGGAGGCAACCTGAGTATCTGCCACTGTCCACCAGTGCCCATCCCGTGGTTGTACTACTGGGTTGTACGCCGAGAGCACCTCAGAAGTTGGGGCAGCTCTGATTTGCAAAGAGCTCAGGCCTAGAAGGAGTCCACGGAAGGGTGGTGCTAGGTGCTGGGTCTGTTTCATTCTTTCTCTTTGGGACACACCCAGCAATGTTCAGGGCTTACCCCTGCCTTTGCACCCAGGAATTCCTCCTGGCAGTGCTCGGGGGACCATGTGGGATGCCGGGGATGTAACTGGGTTGGCTGTATGAGAGGCAAGCCCCTGACCGACTGTACTAGAGCTCCGACCTCATGTCCATGGACATTTCTACATCTAGCTTCTACTCAGGGTGATGAGTCTGCAAAGATCTACCCTTTGTATGTCCTCTTTAAGGTCACACCCAGCAATGCTCAGGGGTTCCACCTGACTCTGCACTCAGGAATTTCTCTTGGGGGTGCTTGGGGGATCTATACAGGATGCCAGGGACTGAACAAAGGATGGCCGCGTGCAAGGCAAATTGTCCACCCCACTGTAGTATCTCTCTGGCCCCTTTATATGCACCACTATTCAGTGAGAAATGTTGTGGGTTATTTTCCCCGTAATTGGGCCACCCCAGAAATTCTGACAGGCTACTCTCAGATGTGTGCTCAGGAGCTGTGCTGGGCTCGAACCCCAGTCTCCTGCATGCAGGATGGGAGAGATCTAGCTCAATGGGCTGAGTGTCTGCTTTACCAGCACAAGGCTTGGGTTCAATCCCTGGCATCTCGTGGTTTTCCCCAAGAACCATTGGGTGTGGCCCAAAAACAAAACAAAACAAAACAAAACAAAAAGGCATGTTCTCAGTCCTTTGTGAACCCTCTCTCCAGCCCAACTCAGTAAGATTCCATTTTTTTTTCTTTTTTGGGTCACACCCGGTGATGCTCAGGGGTTACTCCTGGCTCTGCACTCAGGAATTACTCCTGGCTCAGGGGACCATAAAGGATGCCAGGGAATCGAGCCTGGGTTGGCCGCGTGCAAGGCAAACGCCCTACCCGCTGTGCTATCGCTCCAGCCCCTCAGCAAGATTAAAAAACAACAACAAAAAAAACAAGCCTCCAAGTCACACACACAAGCAGCTCTGGAATGGATAACTGTGGTTCCAAAGGCCAGCCCGGCCGCCCACCACCTACCAGCGACATGGCTGGGCTCTGCTGGCCCTCTCTACACACAGTGACCACCATCCACGAAGTCGGGGTGCAGGAAGCGCCAGCCCCCCGCCCCTGGCACCCGGCCCTGCGACCCAGCCTGGTGCCGCCACGCACCTGTGATGAGGACAAGCGCCGACAGACAGGCGAAGGCGGGGACGTCGAGGACCAGGCTGTGCAGGGAGCGGGAGAAGGCCAGGATGCTGTCGATCCAGTCGCCAAAGCCCCGGGCACACTGCAGCCGATGCAGCACCAGCCCCGAGCAGAACACCAGCTTCCCCTCGGCCGGCTTGGACCTAGCAGATGGACACAGAGGGCGGCGGTCAGGCTGCGGGAGGGCAGCGCGGTGGCCGGGGCAGGCCCCGGGGGCGGCGGCGGCAGGCGGCTCACCGGTAGGCCAGGCGGAGGATGAAGAGCTCCAGGAAGGCCGACTCCAGCAGCAGGTCCTGGTCGCCCACGGACAGCTCGGCAAAGCCAGGGATCTTCTCGGCCCACTTGCGGATGACCTCCAGGGACCCCGACAGCAGGTCGTAGAACTGTTGCACGTCCCCGGCATCCTCCTTCCCGAAGTGGGGCAGCACCAGCTCCTGAAACTACAAGAGGGGGTAGTTGGCGAGGGGGGGATGAGCACCCCGGGAAAGGCCTCACCTTGAAGCGCCGCGTCTGCGTGACGCAAACGCACCTTCCCTTCCCAACGGGCCACCTCCCACCCTGGCCCACTATGGGGGAGATTCCTCTTTCTCCAGTTCCCTCAGCCGGGCCCCTGAGAAGGTGCACGAAGGCAGGTGGGCCTCACCTTGGAGTAGTCCAGCTTGGCAGTGCTGGGCCCGGAGTCCAGGTGTGCCCTGACCAGCGAGGTGAGGAGATTAGCCGGGGAAGCATCAGGGGGCTGCTTGGGCTTGGAGGGGAGCCGGCCCCGTCGCCCCTTCAGGCTGTCTGTCCGGACAACTGTGGAGCAGGGCGGGTGTGAGGATAACGGGGAGGGACCAAGGGGAAGGGTTCAGCCCAGACCATCCGCCAGAGCTGAGCAGCACCCCCGATTCAGGGGCCCGGGGGTCTCGGAGGCCACGCCCCACCCGTTCCGTTTCATGTGTGGACTCGAGTCCAGGCATGCCCACCCCCACAGCGAGCGAGCAGGACAGATGTTCGGGGTGATGCCGCCGGCTGACCCAGCCACCCACCTTCCTTCACCATGCCCACGGCCAGGCACTTCTGGAAGCGGCAGAACTGGCAACGGTTTCGCCGCCTCTTGTCCACAGGGCAGTCCTTGTTGGCCAGGCAGATGTACTTGGCGTTTTTCTGGACTGTGCGCTGGGAAGGGGCGACACGGAACAGGCTGTCAGGGGACGGGGAGCAGGGAGGGGACCTTCCAGATCCTGCTGCCTGCCGCGCGGACAAAAGCGCCCTCTGTTCCCAGCTATTTTTCTAACATTTGGGTGGCAGGGGAGGGAGAGATGAGGGGAGGGGACGAGAAAGAACGTCTCGGGGAACACTGGGACGTGCTCTCGGCCCCGGGAGGAGGGAGGCCCCCCAGGCTACAAGATTAGGGGCTCCCCGGCCAGCCAGACACCTGTGCGCCTCAGTGTGCCGTGTCTGCCCAGGTCTGTCTGGGAGACAAGAGCGGCCAGGGCAGGGCTGCGGCGGGGGGAGCAGCGTGGGGACGAACATACAGCCCGTTCCCGATCCACCCCCGGCCCTCCAGCCCCGACTCTGCCCCCAGCACTTTCATCTCCTGCCAGGACACCAGCGCGCACTGTCCCTTCCCAGCAGGACCTGGTGTGGGGGAGGAAGGGCAGAGGCCGGCGACGACGCTGCCCTGACGACCCGCCACGGCCCCCCTCTCTCTCAGGAAAGGGGCCAGTCCCTGCTGACCGGGGGTCCCCCGGCAGGCCCCAGGGAGGACTCAGCAAGACCACCAAGGGCCACCCCGTACCTTGAAGAAGCCCTTGCAGCCCTCACAGGTGCGGACCCCGTAGTGCTGGCAGGAAGCGTTGTCTCCGCACACGGCGCAGCGGCCCTCGCTGGCCCCCGGGGCCCCACTCCGGGCCTTGGTCGAGGTCATGGGCGCGTCCAGCAGCCGTGAGCCGTCGAGGTGTGGCGACGTGGGCACCAGGCCTGGGAAGGCCGCGGGCAGGGAGAAGCTCTCTCCCTCCCCCAGCTGGTGGGCCGTCGGCGAGGGGAAGAGCTTCAGGGGGCTGTGGGCCAGGCCGGGGCTGGGGCCGGCCGGGGGACTGAAGGAGAAGAAGGTGGGCGGCTGCGGGGGCCCAGGGGCCTTGGGCAGCTGCTCTGTCCATGCGCGCAGGCCTTCGTAAGTCTGGCTGGGGGAGAAGGGGCCCAAGGAGCCGTCCCAGGGGGACAGCTGGGGCGGCTGGAAGCCGGGCGTGGACGGGGACGGGGCCGAACATGGGCTGCCGTAGTAGTCGGAGCCGCTGGACGACAGGGTCTCGTCCAGGGGGCCGCTCAGGGGCCCGGGGTAGCAGCCGTACACCTGGAAGTCCTCGAACTTGAAGGAGGCGGAGGCAGGGGAGGTGGCGGAGGAGGACGAGGCCGAGGAGGCCGAGGAGGAGGTGGAGGAGCACGGCGGGGCTGCTCCCGGCAGCTGGTACAGGAAGGTGTCGAACTCCCCGGCGTAGCTGTCCATGAAGGTGCTGAAGCTAGGCAGGGCGGTGGGCGCCGTGGGGGCCGCCTCGGGGCTGGCCAGCTCCATGGTGGGCTTGCTGAGATCGGGGGTCAGGGCGTCACTGGCCAGCTGGTCTCGGGGTCCGGGGCTGGGTGCTGGTGTCCCATACTGGGCTTGGATACAGGGCATCTCTGGAGAGGGCGAGGAGGGGGGCGGGGAGGTCAGGACAGGGCCCAAAGGACAGACAGAGTGGCCAGGCGGCACGGGTCCCAAACAGGGCTGGGACATAAAGGCCTGAGAGCGGAGACGCCCCACAGAAACCGGGGGTCCTGGCCCTCGGCCAAGTACCATCTTTTTTTTTTTTTTTTTGCTTTTTGGGTCACACCTGGCGATGCTCAGGGGTCACTCCCGGCTCTGCGCTCAGGAATGACTCCTGGTAGTGGTCGGGGATATGGAATGCTGGGACTCGAACCCGGGTTGGCCGCGTGCAAGGCAAACGCCCTACCCAGTGTGCTATAGCTCCAACCCCCCCAAGTACCATCTCGACTCCCCCGTCGTGAAGCCCCAGGCTGGGTGGGAAGGCGGCACCCAGCACCGCAGGAGGAGGGACAGCTGTGCCCCCCCCCCCCGCCCTGTTCCTCTCAACGGGGAAGGCAACAGGAGGAAGGCGGGCAGGAAGCCCTGAACCCAGTAGCAGATACGCTACCTCTCCACCCGATGTTTCTGGAATATTCCCCAGCCCACTGCAGCCTCTGCACGGTTCCCTCGCCTCCCCCCATAGTGCCTGGGAAGAAGAAGGGATCCTTGGAAACGCAGAGGAGCCGGCGAAGGCCGAGTTGCCTGAGAAAGTGGCCTCTGCAGCCACGGGCCGGGGCGCTCCCCGCCCCCACCCTACATACTGAGCCAAGCCCACGCGCACCCCAGGCCTGCCATCTGGGGAGGAGCACCCACTCTGCGCCGCCTGGGGTGCTCCCAGAGCAGAGAGAAAGTCAGTCCCCAACTCTCCGGAGTCTGCAGGCAGAAGGGAGGAGAGTCCGGCCTCTGGACTGCAGGAGAACGGACAGGCCGACAGAGGAGCCATCTCTCCCCAAAGCCTCGCCCCTGCTCCTTCCTCCAAGAGCCCCGAGGAGCGACAGACCAGCCCTCAGCGCGAGGAGCCTGCTGGTGGGTGGACGGACTAGTATCCGTGCCCCAAAGGATCTGGAACCCTCAGCAAAGCGTGTCCCATCTCCCTAACCCTTAGTCGGGGAAGAGCTCAGCATCCTCCCACGGGAACCCTTCGAGGGTCACACGGTCCCCAAAGAAGCAAGGGGGCTGCAGGACAGCTCCCAGCCCACCTCTGGGCCTGATTGCCACCGCGGTCAGGGCGGGGAGCGGGCCCAGGGCCACCATCAAGGGGACAGCCCCAGCAGGTTTGACCCACACTTTTCTCCAACTTCCTGGGTTGGGGACCCCCGCAGACACAACTCCCCCCGCAACCAATATAGTCCCCAAAGCCCTGGGAGCGGGGCTGCCCACCAACCACGCCTGTCCACCCCCCCCCCCCCAGGGACACGAGTGGCCACGTCTCCCTGCACCCTGAGGGCAGGCAGGGATGGGTCTGGGGTGGCAGAGACAGCAGCCACGCGGAGCTGGGCGTTCCTGCCTTATTCAAATCCTGTTTCTCCACTTGGACTGTCCCACATCCGGATCAACACTCCCCCCCCCCCCCTCCACCAGCACCCCCCTCTCAGGTACTTAAGGACACCAGATATGGACCTACACCTCGCTGCAGGCAGCAGGGCAGTGCCACCGGGAGGAGGAAGAGGCGGGGTTGAGGAGGGAGCAGGGAGAATCCGGCTCCAGGCAGGTCCTGGCAACAATGTGGTTTGCACCTGTTATGCTGAGCAAGCCTCAGGCTGTACCTACCTGTAGGAGCCAACGGGGACTGGGGGTGGGGAGGGCACTGAGATGATCTGCCTGGCGGCATGGGGGGGGGGGGGCGGGTAATCCTCCAGGCAGCAGCGCTACACCAGAGACCTCGCACTAGCAACTTCCTCCAGGATCTCCTGGGACAGACAAGGGGACAGGGAGCCGGTGCTCTCCTCTCCCTCTCTCCTCTCCCTTTCTCTTTCTCGGACCCTGCCTACAGCTCAGCCCATCTTCCCTGTGCTTCCAGGGACCCTGCCCCGGTGGCGGCGAACTCGGCGGTACCCTCCCGGCTGCGCAGTTCAGTACCCGATGCCCAGGATGTCCTCCGGCAAACCAGAGGGCTCCAGATGGGGTTCGGGCAGAAACTTGGGGGGCCGGGGAATCCCTGCAAGCGCAGCCGCCGCCCCCCAAGTCCAGCAGACTGGGGGCGCAGCAGGCGCGGGCTGAGCGGGAGGGGGCCACTCTGCTAAGACCCCACAAACACACACGCACGCACACACCAGCACCCAAGTCCTGGGTTCCACGTGCCCCCCGGGGCGCCCAGCGAGGCAGAACTGCTGCCAGCCGCCTGCTGGACAAGTCTCCCTCCTGGCGCCAGCCCCAACCCCCTGCGGCGTCCACCTTGCGTGGCCACCGCCGCTGCCCGGCGCGCACCCCCAAACACACACACACACACACACGCGCACCTTCCGGGTCCAGCGGACTCCAGGCGGGTCCGGGTCCGGGTCCTCGCCCCGTCCCGTCCAGAGCCGGCGGCGCACACGCTCGTCCCGCCCGCCCAGCGCCCGGGCATCCCTCCCCGCAGCGCGCAGCACCCCGAAACGCGCCCCGGGCGCGCCGTCCCCGCCAGGGCACCTACCCGGCCGGCTGCCGCTCCCCGAGTCACCGAGCCCCGTCCCGGGTCCCCGAGTCCCCGCGCCTGCTCCCGGCCCCGGGTCCGGGTCCCGCGTGCGCTCCCGCCGTGCGCCGCGCGCTCCCCGCCGCTCGCAGCGTCCGCCGCTGGGGCTCCCCGGCCGCGCCGGACCCTCCTCTTAAGCGCTCCGTGACGCACGGGGAGGGGCGGGGGCGCCGCTGACGCACGGGGCCCGGCGCGCTTTGGCCATACAAGGGCGCGGGGGGCGGCGCGGTTCCGGCGGGAGGCGGCGCGGGGCCGGGGAGCCCGAGGGGGCGGGGCGAGGGGCGCCCGGAATGTCTGTGCGCGTGACGCACGCGGGGTTCCATTGACGCAGGGAGCGCCGGGCGTTTGATCTATAAATAGGCCCCTCGCGCGGGCAGGGCGCGCTAAAAATAGCAGCTGGCCGACCCGCGCGAGGCTTCCCCGCCCCCCCGCCCCCCCCCCCCGAGACACACACACACACACACACACACACACACACACACACACACACACACACACACACCGGGACCCGGCTCCTGGGGGCTCCCCCTGGTCCGAAATAAACTGGCACACACACACACACACACACAGACACACACCGGGACCCGGCTCCTGGGGGCTCCCCCTGGTCCGAAATAAACTGGCACACACACACACACACACACAGACACACACCGGGACCCGGCTCCTGGGGGCTCCCCCTGGTCCGAAATAAACTGGCACACACACACACACACACACACACACCTGGACCCGGCTCCGGGGTGCTCCCCCTGGTCCGAAATAAACTGGCACACACATACACACACACACACACACACACACACACATACACACACCGGGACCCGGCTCCTGGGGGCTCCCCCCGATCCGAAATAAACCGGCACACACACACACACACACACACACACACACACACCTGGACCCGGCTCCGGGGTGCTCCCCCTGGTCCGAAATAAACTGGCACACACATACACACACACACACACACACACACACACGGCCCGGGACCCGGCTCCGGGGTCCTCCCCCTGGTCCGAAACAAACCGGCACACACATACACACACACACACACACACACACACACACACACACAGCTCCCCGGGGGCTCCCCCCCCCCTCCCCGCACCGTCCGAAATAAACCGGTGCACACACACCAGGACCTGGCTCCGGGGGACTCCCCCGGGGTCCGAAATAAACCCGCCCCCCCCCCAAAGAGGAGGGCGCCCGCGGGGCTTCCCTCCGAGGATGCCCCCGGCTGCTCCCAGCTCCCTCCGGACCCATAGGCGCCCCCAGCACCCTCCCTCCCGAGGGCTGCCCACCCGACGGCCCCGACGCGTGGGCACCGCGCCCCAACCAGCCGCGGGGCACCGCGGCTCCCGCTAATTCCCTCCCCGCAATTTCCCATGCAAAGTACCTTCCGGAGGGCAGGGGTTTGCTGGGGCGCGCATGGGCCAGTGGGGCGGCTGGAGCCCAGGAACTCGCACCCGTCCGAGAGCTCAGACTTCAGCACCAAGGGGGGGAGGCCCTGAGAAATCTTTGTGCCAATGCGCCCCCGTTTTATAGACAAACAGGGCTCAGAAGGGATGGCACTTGCTCAAGGTCACACAGCCTCACGGCCGCTTCTCACACGCTCTGGTCAGGCTGCTCAGATGGGTGGGGGTCTTCCCTATCTCTGCAGCTCGAGGGGCCGCGGCTCTGGCCTGTCACCTCCGCCAGCAGCAGAAAGGGTCTGTGTGCCGGTTGAGCCTTCCCAGCGATGGCATCACCCCCTGTTTGCAGGAAGCTCCCCTACCCCACTGGGACCCCACCGGTGGACATCAGGGGGTATCTGCTTCCCCGATCCTCCTTTCCCCTCTTCTGTCTTCTGTCCACCCTGCAGTCCTGGCCCCCACTTCCACACCTCGCCTCCGGGCCCCCAGTTCTGCGCTCTCAAATATCCCAGCAGCACCTCACACTTAACTTGCTCCCGGAAGGGCTTCTCACTGCAGTCCCTGAGCCACTGGCCACCCCGCTACTCTGGAGGCCGGACTCACCCCTTGACCCTCTGGTCCCTCAAACTCACCTCTGGGCGCCCCGTTCCCACTGGGCCGCGAGAGGCCCTGCCCCATACCTTCAGCTCATCCTTAACCTCGACTCTTCTTTCCCATCGTGTCCAGCTGGGGGGAAGCGGTCTCCCCCCTCCAGCAGTGGGCCCTGCCGCAGCCCCTGGAGCCCCCACGGTCGAGTTTTCCACCAGAGAGCCCCGACTCACCCAAACACCTTCCTGAGACCCCCTGGGAAGGAGAAGGAAGGGACCAGAACAATAGGCCCAGCCTGTCCAGAATCTCCACCCCACCTCAGACAAATTTTTCTTTGTTCAGGTCTTTGGCCTAAGATACTCCTTGAAGAAAAAAAAAATTTTTTTTGGATGCCACAGTTTTTATTTTCTTTCTTTTAGGAGGACTCCCGGCAGTGTTCGGAGAGCCTGGGGGCCAGTTCTGGGAACACTCAGCCCTGCTGTACCAGTCAGAGAGCTCAATGCCTGGCCGATGCATGCAGGGAGTCACTGGGGTCACATCCTGGTATGCCCGGGGTCCTACGAGGCCCAGGATGGTACTCACATTCCGTCCACATGGAAAACTGGGATTCCAGCCCCTTGGGCTCTTCCCTCAGCCGATTCCAGTTTTTCAAAAAGGTAAGAAACTGGGCTGGAGAGATAGCACAGCAGGTAGGGCGTTTGCCTTGCACACGGCCTACCCGGGTTCGATTCCCAGCATCCCATATGGGCCCCTGAGCACCGCCAGGAGTAACTCCTGAGTGCAGAGCCAGGAGTAACCCCTGAGCATCGCCGGGTGTGACCCAAAAAAGCAAAAAAATATATATATACTGTTAAGTCAGGGTCTCCATTTTTACAGACTCAAATCAAGGGGACCCAGGAAGTCTAGGTTGGTGAGAGCCACCTCCCTGCCATGTCACAAGCAGGCTTCCCCACCCTGTCCCGGGGTGGACCCCCCAAAGCAGTGGAGCACTCCTCAGAAAATGACAATTGGGGCTGGAGAGACACTACAGCAGGTAGGCTGTTTGCCCTGCATGTGGCTGACCCAGGTTCGATCCCTGGCATCCCATAGGGTCCCCTGAGTACCGCCAAGAGGGATTCCTGAGTGCAGAGCCAGGAGTAATGCCCTATGTGTCACCAAGGATAGTCCCCACAAAGCAAAATCACAAGCTATGCTCTGTTAAGGCCAGGTCAAAGCTCTAGCTAGCCCACCCACCCCGTAAAGAAGGTGCTTCGGCATCAGCCTCTCCTGAACCGGGTCCTCTGAGCATGAAGCCAACAGGGCCAGCTCCCACCTCCTCCTCCACTGTAACAGCAGCCCAGTGCAGCCCTTGCCTCCCCTGGGCTCTGGCACCAACTAAGACTCCCGAAGCCTGGGTCCCGCCCTCAGATGCGCTGATGTAACAGTCCTGGCTGTGGGCTCGCCCTTGCTGGATGATTGGGAGTATTAGAAAGACGCAGTTGTACAAGCTCCCACGGGAGTCAAGCCAGAAGGAAGGTGTGAATGTGTAGAGGCCTCTGGGGAAGCCTAATAGGAGTCCTGGGAACGCGAGTGTGATGGGGGCGTCCGGGCCCAGACCTGAGGCCGTGGCCCAGGAGGTGGGACCGCGACACACTCTGGGCCACAGAGGCAGAGGAAAGAGCTGCAGCCACAGCTGCCCCTGACCATTCTGGTGGGAGTCCAGGGGAAGCTGCTCTCCAGGGAGGTTAGAAGTGGGGCTGGACTGGGCTTGGGGGCGTGAGATCAGCTAAGGGAAAATCTAGCATCTTGATGACGAGCTGGCAGGATGCAGACTCCTGGTCCAATGCAGTCCCCCAGCGCAGGAACCAGCCAGGAAGGGTGCAAGGACTGAGCACACAGGCTCTGCAGGCAGAAGGAATGGGATGGTACCCCTGAGCACTGCCAGATGCAAACCCCAAGCATTGCGCTGGGAACAGCCCACCAAACACCGACAAAAAGGAAAAGGCAAAAGAGAGAGTCTGTGGCATAGCGGGTAGGACATTTGCCTTGCATGTGGCCGACGCAGGTTCGATTCCCAGCATCCCATATGGTCCCTCGGGCACCGCCAGGAGTGATTCCTGAGTGCAGAGCCAGGAGTAACCCCTGAGCATCGCCGGGTGTGACCCCAAAAGCAAAAAAAAAAAAGTGGGAGTCTGTGTGAGGAGCTCAGGCAGGGGAAGTTGGTGGGACGGCCAAGGAGGGGTGGGAGAAGCACCCCTAAGAAGCCCAAGCCAGAGACCGGGACAGAAGGGAAGGCAGGGCCGTGACCGCACAGGGAGGACACAGAGGAGATGTCCTGCTGGTGACAAGAGACTGCCTACCACCCCGTCAGGCCCCCACTGCCCACTGTGGTGTGCCTGCCCCCACAGACAGGTCCCAGGCTAGCCCTGCCCGGAGCAGTGACCATCTAACTTGGTGACAAGCATCTTCTTGGGAGCGGGGTGAGAACCACCTTGGAGCAGGCTGAGGGTGGGCAGGGGGGTGACCAAGGAAGGGCTGGGCTTTGGACCAGCCCTTTCCCCAGTATTCCAGGTTCAGAATTACAGCCCATACTTTCTTTTTGTTTGCTCGTTTTGGGGTCACGCCCAGCAATGCTCAGGGGTTACTCCTGGCTCTGCACTCAGGGTTTACTCCTGGCGGTGCTCAGGGGACCACACAGAGTGCTGGGGATGGAACCCAGGTTAGAACCCATGTGCAGGGGCACCACCGTTCTCTCTCCCCAGCCTCTACAACCCACATGTTCTAAATGAGAAATTGGAGGCCTGCGAAAGGTCCAAACTTGGGTCTTTTACCTCCAGGGTGTTCTTTGTTGTTGGTGGGGTTGGGTTTGGGGGCTATACCCGGTGGTATTCAGGGGTCGCTCCCAGCAGTGCCCGGAGAACTATGCAATGCTGGTTCCAACCCGACTCTCCAACAGTACCCCGGCCCACGGATGCGTGGCCTATCCCCAAATTTCTGCTGGACACACTTCCTTGGCTGTGAACTCCGGACCCCCATGGTTTCTGACCTTAATCTTTGTCTTTCGGGTGTTTTTTTTTTCC